GTCAGATCAGGAATTGGGAGAGTAGAAGCTGTGCTCAGTGTATTCTCTCAGTAGGGTGACTTTTAGCTAAAACAGATTTCTTGCAGAGAAGGCTAGGGGCTGCAGTGTGGAGCACATTTTGAAGAGCACCTAAACTGTGTCATTCCCTTCCCTTCCCACAGTGAAGGACACACAAACTACCACACCTTCCCTCAGGCTGCATCCCCCCACATCCCATCCTGGGACACAGTCCCATCCCCCTACCCCCAGATTCTACCCGTGTTTTAAAATTCCTTTTCCAAAAGAAGTTTTAAAGATTTTTCTGTTTCATAAGGGTATTTTTCTACAGGGCGGATCTGAGAGAAATACCACAAAAGGTGCTCAGGCCCCGCCCACTCGCTCTGTGCGTCTTCCTGCTTGTCTCTTCAGCAGGCAGCATCAAGTGTTGAGGTAAAGGCTCTTATCTTTCAAACACCTTCCTGAACTTGTAGAGGAATCCCGTGAAGGAAGAATCATCCCTATCACTGTTCGTATCACCCAGTCCCCATGGGCCTTTGGCCCCTTGCTGAGGTCTGGGGTGGAAACTCTCCAGGTTTCCATTGCTTTCCTGCTCTTTGCAGGGTGCTGAGGAGGAAAGAACTACTCTCCCTTGGTTCTCCAGGTTTTAGTTATTCCCCAGCCTCCGTGTAGGGGATTCCCTACCCCACCAGGCTTCTCGTTCTCTCTAGTGCTATGCAAGATTCTAATGTGTGAAGACAGGGGGCTCATCTAGCAGGCTATTACAGCTCCTCTTATTCCCCAGCTTCTTGTGGAGATTGTAGGAAAAGGAGAGTCTTCTGACCCAAGCTTTTCTGCTGCTCTTATTGAAGAAGACCCTTTTGCAGAACCAGAATGAGCTCCCCAGACCAGCAGTCCATGTCATCATGTTAGTCTAGGAGACAAGTGCACCTTTCCATCAGCAAAACCATGAAACTGACAATATGCAAAGTGCTAACAAGTGCACAAAATAAACAAAGTGTGTGTGTGTGTGGGGGGAGAGAGACAGAAGAACATTATTTCTTATTAAGTTTCTACTGGAGTAATTTTAGGGATTCCTTGTAATTACAGTGGTAAAAAAAATCAAACAAATGTGATTTTTCATGTTCCTTTAAGTTCTCTGTCTCAGGGTCTTTAATAAAACCCCATATTTATATCTGCACTGATGCTCTGTGGCCTCTGCACTCATTAAAATACAGCAGGGAACTCTTTAAAATGTTTGAGTAAACACATACTGATGAACTATAAGTGCTTGGTGCTTTGGCATATGATGATTCTCTTTCAGTATTAAGAGCCACTCAGTCACTTCCTGCAGATTACTAAAATCCATTTAACTAGATGAGCTTCTGCTTCTAGATATTTATTCTTTACTTGAACAAATAAGCAAGTCAAACTACATATCAGTTATTTAAATAATACAGCACTATTATTTTGACTCTTCTTTCCCTTCTTTATACATACATACATACATACAAATTAATCTCTTGTGTAGTGAGGCACAATTCCATTAGCTTCTGAGGAGTTGCAGCTGCTTACAGCAGGGCAGAATTTGGTCTGTTGTGTGCCCTGATTATTACTAATTTATACAGTCCCTTCATAGCTGTGAAGGTTAAAGTGGGCTCACTGCACATCATTCTGCTTGAAGTAGTTATGACTTCATGTCTTTTGGGAGAGTTTAATGAATCTCCTAGGGGTTTATTGCTTAAGGTTTAATTTTTTGCTTTTTCTACTCTAAATTAGAATCTGTACTTGAGATAAAAAAAAATTAAACCACCCACTCAGCTAATGAAAATGCATGTGTAAAAGAAAGCAGATTTCAGTATTCCAACCAGGAACAGGTGGAAGGCATTGGGGCATTAAAATATGTATGTATTTATATATGGCCCTGGTCTGATCTATCCAGATAGCTGCAGACAGAGCTGAAATAATTTAAACCTAACTGAGTTGTTCATTTTCTTATAATGTTGGTGAAGTCAGAACTGATCACTTTAATTTTCATGGGGATGGGTGTAAAAGGCTAGTTTGGTATTATGTATATATGCTACAGTACATAACATTGGGCCTGATTCTGCTCTTACTTACATAAGTGTAAATCAGGAGTTGAAATCAAGGGGGTTACCCTGGAGTGAAACAGATTCAAAACCCAGATGTGTCATGAGCCTCAGAAATTCTGGTACCCACACATGATGTAAATCACCAGTTTATGAATGTCAGACTGTTTTTGCTGAAAACTCAGCAATCCCTGAAAGCAATCCTAACCTAACCTCAGAATCCTTGTAAAGCCATTTAAAAAATTCAGGTGGTTAATATCTACTTCCACAAAGAGCTGCAGGCGAACATGTGACTTGCTCCTGCTGTTATTGACATCAGTCGCACAACTGTTGGTGACTTCAGAGGAGCAGTATTGGTCCTTTAAAAACATTGCTTACCAAGAATATCCCCAAGGGCCTGATTTCTGCAAGGAATGCTGAGACTAAGGTTACCAATTTTGGTTGGATGTATTCCTGGAGGTTTCATCACAACATACTTTTAAATTAAAGATTAATCTTTAATTTCTGGAGCCTCCGGCAACCCTAGCTGAGACCAGGACATATCTGTACTCATGTCAGAACAATATAGAGAAAAAATAGCTTGGTTTCTATGGCTGATTACTTAGATTGTAAACTCTTTGGGACAGAGACAGTCTTTTTGTTTTTTGTCTGTAGCGCGCATAGCACAATGCAGTCGTGGTCCATGCCTGAGCCACGATGCTGGTGATGATAATATGGTACCTTTATACTTTAAATGGATTGTAAGAGTTTTGCTGCAAATAGCATTTTAATTTTTTAACTCCATAAATTTTAATCAAGAGTGATCCAATACTGAGTACAGGTCTAATAAAAATCATAATGAATGGACATTGGCTCCACATTACATTTAATTAATTAACCTTTATCTTAGTGTCTCACTGGAACCACAGGGATAGGAAATATAACACTTTTTCACAAAAGGGGCACAAATATGAAATTATTTCTGAAGGGCGATTCAGATTTACTGAAACTGATTCTCAATTTAAATGCACTTCTTCAGCCAAAAGCTTGCACTGCTACATTAGCTTGAAAAAAGTCGAGATAATAGTTTTAATAAAATTATTTTAAAAGGAATGAAGTGGCATATTTCATTTTAAAGATATGCTTTTCTCTTGTCATATAATCCTGTGGTTCAGTTCAGCATTGAAAGAAAATAAATTGCCGTCTCTGAAAAAGGAAAATTCATCTTTGAAAAACCTATACGCCTCAGGTCTGGATAGTTTTCAGGGGATTAATTTTTCTCCATTAGCCTCAAAGGACTTGTCTGGTCAAGTAGGAAGAAAAGGGTTATGGCTCCTTTAATAGTTCACCCCCTCTTGTGGGTTGGGGGGGGTTGGGGGCATCATCTGAGCTGCGGGCTGGCAGGAGGAGCTCAGGTAAGCCAGTGGTTCTCTGTGGACCAGGTGGAGGGTATGTATATTCTGTTCTGCCAGACAGAACCCTCTCCCACATCAGTTGCTCCAGCACATGGGATTGCTTTAGGCCAGGTTTTTGTGATCTCCTGTGGCCATTTCACTGATCACCTCTTTTGAGACTGGTAAGGAATTTTTCCCTCACTTCCAGATTGGCTGAAGCAGGATTTTTTTGTTTTATTTTCACCTTCCCCACAACAGCTCCAGGACTTGCCTAGGTACGTTAGGAGGAATGGTTCAAGTTGTGACAACTTGGCAGGTGCCCAGTGCAGGTACTCGTTCCATAGGCGGTCCGGTTCCCTGATAAACTGGAATGGGAAGTGGACTTAGGGGAAGGCATCCCCTAAAGAATCTGGGGAACAGGATTAGGGCTTCTAATATCTGGCACTGTGAGAAGATAAGTCCCTTTACCCTTATATGAGGGGAGAGTGGTGGGATCCCAGTAACAGTCTGGGGACAGCTGGGGGGAGGGGGTGCTGATAGCAGCCTTCCCCCAATAGGTGCAAATGATTAAGGAAGGAATCATGACCTGCGCTGTACAAGTTATTACCAGGTAGCTCTCAGAGGAGTTCAGTTAATAAAGTTGTGGCCTAATTAAACCACATCCCATGTATCTTGCTTTTCTTCCTGTATGTCTGGGACAACAGTGAACTGTCATTGATAAGACTGAAGTTTCATTGCTCTACATGGTTAGCTTAAGCAGGCTCAGAACTGAGTTTCCCCCATCAATGGGAATGGATGGAATCTGATGATCAAATAGCTTAGTAGTATAAATTGATTGCCATGGACACTTAAATGGAAGCATTTAACTTTTGGGTGTATCCACGTTTGTAATGCATAAGCATGTTCTCAAAACCAAAATAAAAAAACATGGGGGAATATGTTTGGATTTTTCTAATGCTATAGTTACCACCTTCTAGCTGGCAAAAACGATGAATCCTCTCTAAACAAATGAAAGCAATAGAGCTTTAGTTTAAAAACAAAAGCAAAATCTGAGGCTAAAATGTATTGGAGGAGAAAATAAAAATGTAAACAGGAATTGAAGCTAGGTATACAGAAGGCTAACATTTCACTGCACCTTGTTGACAGATGATTGTTTTTAAAGGGCAGGCCTTTTAGAACTAAAACAACTTCTTGCTAATATCGTTGGTTATGTATAAATTAGAGACACAACCTTCATAGGTATAATCATAATTTTTTTAAAAAATATTTGTGCTGATAATTATTGAGCTCCTCTGATTTTACTGAAAGTTATCTTAATTATCTCCTCTTAATATGTTACAAATTCATAATGTTGTAAAAATGCACTGCTCATTACTACTATCTGTGTTCTAAAAACAGATGCTTTTTAATAGAAAAGAGACAAGATAAAGGTTTCCTGCTTGCGCTATGGACAACTGTATTATTTCCTAAACTCCAGATAGAATACAGCGACTAAAATAGTTGCTAGATTTTTATGAATCCAAGAACATATAATGATGTGTTTATTTTGGTTTTTTTACAGATTAAGATGCCTGGTCAAGCAACTGGAGAAAGGTGATGTTAATGTGGTGGATTTAAAAAAGAATATTGAATATGCAGCATCTGTGTTGGAAGCAGTTTATATTGATGAAACCAGGTAAGTCTTCAAGGGGGAAAAACAAGACTTTTATGATGGGGGCTTATATTGGACCATTGGTGTTTGCTCTTAATTCCAACTGACATCAGCTGGTGCTTAGCAGAAGACATAAGGACAGAATATGGCTCTTAGGTCTTAAGAGCAAGTGAAGGTATTTAAGATTCAGGGGATCAAATGTCACCTTCTGGAGAGCTTGCTCAGTTCCCATTTACTTTAATGGGAAAATGCGTGAAGCACAATCCTATGTCATGAGAATTTATGGATGGGTATAACTGAAAAATCCAGCAGCCAGATTCTGATACTCTTCATCACTGTGAAGGGTACTTTACAGCACAAACATGCCTGTTGAAGAGACGGAGAGTTGTTGTCAAGTGAAATGCTAATGAAGCTAAGTCTGAGAATCGTATTCTGGCCCACAATAAAGAACTTGAAAAACTAGGATTTGTTTTATTCTATTTTTCACAAATATAAAAACTTGATGATTGTTACTAGAATTATTACTTGCAATTATTTTTTTCAATGGTTTGACTTTAATGAGACTGTAAATTCTAAATATTCCTATATGTGACTTCTTGAAATAATTCTAAGACTTGCCCTGTAAGTAAAGTTAAACTAACTGTAAGGCAACTTTCTGGTGTTTCCCTAGGTCTTATATTTCTTTTAAAGTTTTAAAGTTTTAAAGTTTTCTCCTTTTAAAGTTTTCTTCTGAACTGAATGTGCTTCCAAGAATGCCTGTCAAAGCTTCTCCAATATTATTTGGATGTCCAATGTGTGTCTGGTCCTGTTTCCTTATTCAATTTAAGAATGCCTGACCTTTTAATAATCATTTCAAGGACCTAACTCATCTCAATGTGCTTAATACTCGATTGGAAGGCGCTCAGATACTATGATAAGCGCAGCATATGCACCTTTATAGAATAGAATAGCTTCTACGTTTAGAAAGATGGATGGAAATTCTCATGTAATATTTCTGTTCCCTTTTCCTTTAATTTCCTTCACATACCAAGAATTGCACATCTATAATTTTGAAGGCTCTCCCATGGGGGGGGGGGTTGTGGGGCTTGCTCCGCTTTGAAAAATGAGCAAATGAAATCACTGCAAAATAAATTGACCTTCAGCAGCAGTCTGTGCACCATTCACAGGAGTTCACATCACAGACTAATTCTTGCATCAGAAGGAGCCAGGCAGGATTAGCTGCTGCAGTGTCCTATTCCTGTCGTTAGCATGTGCATATTCCTGTAAGGGGTTGCAAAGCTACAACGCCAGAAGAACTTTACTGAGTAGCCTGTCAGCCATTACACAGCACTGAGAGGCACTTTCAAAAGTTCCCGGAATGTCCCCAGTTGGGCAAGGTACTTAAGCACAGGACCTAATGTAAAGCACCTTAGGAGTCTCGTTGACCTCTGTCCATGTGCTCTAAGGAACATTGCGCTTTTAAGTTAAATATGTGCTTAAATATTTAGCTGACTTGGAGGTGTAATGAGCATATACAAAGCTAAGACAAGTCCCAGAGCCTACCCTGAAATGCTGACCCTAGAGCTACTACTGGCAAACCATCTGCAAAGATGCTGAGGTAGAGGGCTTGAGGCTCAGGCCTTGTCTCCATGAGAAAGCTACACCAGTTTAATTTAATTCATTTTATACTGATTTAGTTAAACTGGTGCAAACCCCTTTGTGGACATTTACTTCAGTTTATCTTAAATCAGTTCCTAATTGACTAAAGCTAAACCAAAATAAACCTGCTTTAAAGTGAACTGAGTGTCCACTCACGGCTTTTGGTTTAACGAAGGCTGTTTAAAAATCACACCCTTTAGCCTGTGTGGGTTCCTCAGGTGAACAAGCCCTCAGAAAAGTATGCTGCACATTTCTTTGGGCTATGCCTTTCCCAATAATAATTGATGCTGTAATATTGCAATGCTGCTCATTTCCCCCAGGACAGAAAATTTTGTTTCTTAAAAAGAACAGGAGTACTTGTGGCACCTTGGAGACTAACCAATTTATTTGAGCATAAGCTTTCGTGAGCTACAGCTCACTTCATCGGATGCATCCAATGCAAGCTTATGCTCAAATAAATTGGTTAGTCTCTAAGGTGCCACAAGTACTCCTTTTCTTTTTGCGAATACAGACTAACACGGCTGCTACTCTGAAACCTTTGTTTTTTAAATCTCTCCAGCATGACGTGCCCACTGCCAGTGATAAACAATTATTTTCTCATGATTGCTTGCGCAGCTCACTTGCCCAGGAATCTTTAGAAAGTTCTTTACCACTTTACTTCAAAGGGGAGCATGCAGTTCATAGTGATTGGTTCTTCTATTGCTACATGGCCAAACAAAGCATGTAATTCCCATTAGCAATAATGGGAGATGTGTTAATGGATTTCAGCATAGTGAGCCGTAGACAAAGGCATAAAGCACTGCAGCTGAGGGGAGAGTATTCTCGCCATCCACTTCTCAAACGCTGTGGTTAGAGGGACATACCATTCCTAACTCAGTTCTCAGTAGGAGTACCATGACTACGTACATAATGTGAGTTTTGCCTCCTCTCAAACATGGGGTACTGTAGGGATATGAACAGAGCTATTATAATGAAGTAGCTAGGCCTTTATGGCTTTGTGTGGAAGAACATCACAGAGCAGGTCTAAGCCCCCATGATGGCTAGCAGGTAGAATTCCATACAAATAGCAGGATAACATGCCACACAAACATATTCTGTGGCTGGAACAGGTGCATTACATTTAGTGTTAGCAAATCCTCAAATGAGTTAGTCACCATTAGGGGGCTAGCAGGCTTATTATGACTGCCCAAATAAGAGCAAATATATGTAATTTCACACTGGTTTGGAAAATTCCCATTCCCTGCAGGCTACTTTTCTAAGGAGACTATTTTATGTCCTGAGACTATTAAAATACTTTCAAGAACTGTAACTAAATCTTTGAATAAAGGACTTTTTGCTCTTCTCTGACTTTATGCAAAGCAACATTTATTCTTAAAACAATTCTCTGTATTGGTAATCTCATATTTCAGAGCACTAAATTAAAAGAAACCTGAGCTATTTTTCTTTCTTTTTTACTCTAGTGATAATTTGTATTCTCAAATGCAATTTCAAAATGAGTACTGACCTCAGTTCCAAACCCATCAAGTTCTGGCAGCATTCCCTTTTATAAATGTATGCCCAGCTGTAAAGCAGCCCTGCCAGTATTTTGTATTATACACAAACACATACATATAACAGCTTTTCTTACCTATGTTTCTAGTGGCTCATTAAATAATAAAAAGAAATTTACTTTTCATCATTTATTATTTGTTTACTTATTGTGTGTGTGTGTGTGAGAGAGAGAGAGACAGTTTGACCCACGATGTGTACACAATCTGCTGCCCAACCCTGAGCCAGTTCACAGCCGTATATTTACAAAATATTCTCTCTGGAGCTCCTTAAAGTCTTGATTCTGCACCACTGAAATCAATTTGGAAATTAAAAGAGCTATTGTTCAGCACAGGGAACTGAAATCTCCATTATAATGTATTCATAATAATACTAGCTCTTTTACATAGCACTCTGCCATGGGTAATGCAGAAAAGGTAACTGCATTTTAATCAGCCTTAGTGGTAAACTCTGTTCCAAATCCTCAGTATAAAGTTTTTAGGCATAATTCATAGACAAATTCTCTCCAATCTTTGGGGAGGAAATCTGCTATATGGCAGGAATGATAAAATATTAAGTCCCCGTGAATGAAATAGGAAGAAACAATTCTGTGTGGTCACAGTTACTACCCATCCAAGCAGGTGCTTTGCCCCACACAAGGTTTCTCCAATGAGAATTTGGAATGGAATTAAATTTATCTATTAGCAGATTAAAAATAATAGCCTAGATCATCAAAGGATGGGTTAATCCCTCCTTCTTGTAGTACTCTGGAAGCGTTTAGTCCCAGATATTTTGAGTCTGAATATGCACTTCTTAATAATGCAAATAGACTTCAACAAGAGATTTGCTTACTTAAGGACTGCAGCAGAGGGTTCTTTAATTAGCACTACTTTACTTAGTAGATATTTGTCAGCAGATACCTTTATCGGCAAATACACGTTGTGTTGAATCCAAACTCAGTCCCTTCCTGGGATTTCATTTATTAACAGAAAAACTTACAATAAAATAATGTAGGCCCTGATCCTGCAAATATGTAACATGTAGCCAACCTGCTGCTCTTACACAGAGCACAACTGAAATCAGTGGGGCTCTGCATGCCCAATATTCCTCCTGTGTGCTACACATTACAAGATGAGCCCCATGAGGTTCAGTTCAAACTTTTTGCCCCAGACTTCACTGCTCGTAGGGTTCCTCCCTCCAGACTGCTCATCCTATATCCTTTGTAAGAGCCACTCTTACCTCTCATATCCAAATGAGGTAATGAGCCAGCAAAACCCACCCAACCCTTCCAAGCAGAATCAACACATGCTAACAGGATGGGGTGTTCTTGGTGAACGCTGCCAGCCTGTTATGCTATGACTTAAGGAGCTATTGCTATCCATATTTGTACATTATACTTCATTCGAGTCAGAGGAGAAGACTGGGTCTCCATAGAAAAGTTGGGTGTATATTTCTGTAAGTAAAATTGCCAGAACCTTGTCGGTTTATTTACAGGATGCAACACATATTGAAACTGGGCTTTAGAATGAAGCTGTTTAATACAGTAAGAAGGAAATCTTTCAGGTTCTCCTGTTTTCCTTCTGTCTGGTTCCGTGTTGCTCTACACGTTATCGTATAATCCGAGAATGTGGTAGAAAATTCTTCCTCTTAAGATTTTACTATCCTTTTCCAAGAAATATGCTAACAGCTTCATTTATGCAGTGCTGAAAGTAGTCATCTTAGAAAGTAGTCTGGCAGTTGGGAAAGCCTTTCAGAGCTATGTGAAATTGTTTTCCTTTTGGGCAGCGATTGTAAATGTCTCATTAAAAAAGCTGAAGCCTTCAATCTTCAAAGGAAGCTTTTGACAGTTCCTGAGTGAG